GGGCGGGGGAGAGGGAAGGGGTCGAGAAACGCCTCGTCGGCCTCCTGCAGGGTCGGGCTGTCCTCTCAGTGCTGCTGGTCCCCTCGCCTGGGGTCCTTTGTGGGTCTGAGGCGTCCTGGGGTGTAGGGTCTGTGTGTGTGTGTGTTCGTGTGTCACTTTTAGCTCTGGGGGATAAACCCCCAAGGGAAAGCCGAGGCCCTGGGGCCTCTTGTGAGAAGTGCCTGGGATCCTCGCTGTCAGACTGGCCGGCACTTACAGCGTAAGGCTCGCTGGGTGGTGGGAAGTACTGACCTGTGCTCGTGTCCGTCCTAAAACCTGAAACCTGGTAGAGTTTCTTTTCCTGGTCCAGAACGGCCTGGAAAGGCAGGTTAGATGGGCAGCTGAGCATTTGACAATTGGGTTACAAAAGGAGAAGTCAGCATTATCAGAAAGGACTTTTCTTACAGCAAGAAGTAAGTTCAGGTGTGATGAGAAGCACCGCTGGTTAACGTTGCTGTGATCAGTGAGGTGATTAAAGACATTCACAAATGGGAAATGAGTGAAAACGTGCATGAAGCGTTTGTGAAGGAAAAGCCATTATGGTTGGGTTTGTGTATAAACCTGCCTCCATCTCTGTTGCCAGTCAGCCCGATTGCATGACTGATAGGGTTCGTAGAAGACTTCCTCGGTTTATATTCGCTGTATGTCTGCGTATTTGTTTCAGCTGTGTTGCAACAGGAGATGGCAGAGTTCCCAACCAAGAGCGTGGCATGCCAGTATGAGAATAGACGTGTTTTATAGTCTCCTTATCCTAGTGATTTCCTTCACAACTGTGAGTGTTACTGCCCTCCTGCTTGTTCCAGCTGAACAGTGTACTTATGTGTTTATTTCCTACTTCTATGGGTAGAGAAATTCTTGGTCTTTCTGATAATTTGTCTCTTTTTCCAGGATACGGTCTTCCTTTTGCTGGTAATTCTTGCTAAGAACTCTTAGCTCTTGCTCAGTGTTGTTCCTTTTTTCTTCTTGGCTGGCTGCGAGTCTGAGCTCCAAATGCAGCTTTCCAGGAGCTACCTAACTGCTCTGTCTTCTGTCGGCCTGCAAGCTTGCCCTAACTACTGAATTTCTCTTGATTTTCAATAGATATTTTTTTTTTTGGTAGCGATGTGTGCGACACAAATTGTTTTTCCTTTTCAACTCTAGATTTGTCTTAAAAACCTTAATTACAAAACCATTTAGTTTTCTGTCTTAGTAAATTTGTCTGTACAAAACAACAGCTATTATGATTGTCTCAATAGATTGGTATTTTCCAAGCAGCTACAATTTGTTTGAGGATGAAAATTACCTGCAGAATAGAAATATCAGCATCCCCACTCAATTCTCCTGCCTTCATTTTCTCTCTCATCAACTTTGTATCAACTTAAACTGCATTTATTGGTATTGGTTCATCCAAGATCATCTCAGCTGATCACTGTATCTTCACTGCTGTTAGACCTGTTTTTCTTTTCCCTAGCCACTTGATATGCTATACTTCCTCTCTTCTCTGCAATAGCCAAGTCGATAGCAGAGCTAATCTGTTTTGATTGATATTATGAGGATGCCACAGTAGTTGAACAACTTCAGCTGAGCAATTGCTGTGAATTTATGTGATTTACTCTGGAGGAGGAAAGTAGCTGAATGAAGACAAGAAGAGAGGCAGGCTCTGAGAGATGAGGAAGCAGATGGTCCAAAGCAGGACTAAAACCGAGATAGCAGGAATTGGAGAAGTGGGTGGTTGTGGAGTGACATGGCTAAAGGAATAAATGTCAGAAAGAGATGTGACTCAAGAGTTATGTGGACAGGAGGACAGTGCGTTCTGCATGAGGGCTGCTTCTTGTGTCTTTTCAGCTCACCTACTTTGCATCCTTGTGGCTTACTGTCAGAGAGTTGAAGGGGCATGGAGAAGGAAGAGCTGATAAGCCATGAAGAATTGCCACAGGTCCCAGTGCATCTTGATTCAGTTTTCCTGGTAGCTGGGAAGGCAGTTTGTTCCATGCAACTGGGGGTGCTGCGGGAGCTGGCTGATGTCATTGCAAGTCCCGTATCTGTAGTCTTTGAAAGGTCATGGTTAATAAGGGAAGGTTTCTGATGATTAGAAAAGAGCAAATGTCTCACACCCATTCAAAAGGGCAAGAAGAAGGATTGGGAACTATAAAACAGTTAATTGAACCTCAGAATCTGGGAAGCTGATGGCACGCATCCTCCTGGGAAGTTTTTTCTAAGCCCACGAAGGTCACTGCGAACAGCTGGTGCGGATTTTACAAGGGCAGATTGTGCCTAACCAACCTGATTGCCTTCTGTGATGAGATTGGCTCAGTGACCAAGGAGAGACCAGTGGATGTGTTTTACCTTGGCTTTAGCCAGGCCTCTGACATGATCTGCCATAGTACCCTTGTCCCCAGTTGGTGAGATATGGATTTGAGAAGTAGACTGTAAGTTGGATGGAAAATTGCCTGATCTGCGGGCTAAATGATGCTGGTCTGTGGGCTGGTGCACTTAGCATACAGGAAGAGGCTGAGAGAACTGGGTTGGTTCAGCCTTAAGAAGAGAAGTCTAAGGGGAATCTTACCGTTGCCTACAACCACCCAATGGGAAGGTTAGAGAAGACAGAGCCAGCTTCTTCTCAGAGGCACTCAGGCATAGGATGAGCAGTAACAGGCACAAGTTGCAGCATGGGAGGTTCAGATTAGAGTGGCTAGACACTGGAAGAGGGGGCAGAGGGGCTCTGGGATGTCTCATGTTGGAGATATTCAAAACTTGACTGGGTAAGGTGGCCCAGCTTTGAGCTCCCTTGAGCAGGGATTAAATAACCTTCAGAGGACCTTCCAACCTAAATTGTTCTGCCAACCTTCCAACCTAAATTATTCTGTATATCGACATACCAGCCTTGGACCACTGATACCTGTTTCCCTGTCCAAGCCAGCTGATACCTGTTTCCCTGCCAGCTCAACAGGCAGCTGTCTATTAGCCCTAGGTGATACACAAGCAATGGTATGCAGCCGCAGCTGCGACAGTCAGCTAGGGCCAAAGCTCCACCAGTGTTGCTAGTTTGACCACCTCCGCATACATCATCTCTAATGGCCAAGGCTACTTCCTTCTGTCCAAGAGCTACAAGAAAGTGTCTAGTGAGGATTGGGGCAGGGGAGTTGGGGAGAGGGGCCCTTGGACGTGGTGGTAGCTTCTAGTAGAGACTGGAAGAGAAGTTTCTTCTTGGCATCAGAGACTGTTGGTTAGGAAACAGTGAAAAGAGAATATTGGTGGAGGCTTTCCTCTTGAGTCCTTGAAAGACATTGCTGTACCTATTTTCCTCATCCCCTTCCCCACTGGTGTCATTCTGCCTCGTTTGCCTGTGTCCGACAGACTACTCTACCTCATCAGACCTTTACCACCTTGATTCAAACGCTGTGCAGTCTATTATGTGCTCTTCTTCTGCTGGAAAGTCTCTGTCCAGATGCTGGTGATGGGAAAAGCGTAAAGACTGGAGGGGTCCTTCGTTATTCACTACCAGTGGTCCACCTATTCTTCACGTTTTCCAGCAAAGTGCAAGAAGCAAAGTGTTTTAAACGTTCAGAAAGATGACAAAGTTTGATGTTATTAATTTTTTGGGATAAATAAAACCAATAGCTGACAATGGAGAGCTGTAGAAAGCTCTCATGATAACGGGTTACTAGGTGATAAAATGGCAGATGAATTTCATTGCAATATGTGTGCAATATAATGTAAATGAGATAAAGCAAGCTTAACTATACGTACAGGGCAGTTACCTACTGCGGCTTGTAGGTTTTAAATTACCTATTAGTGCTGCAGAGGTTCTGGCATCAGTATGGGTTGTTTCATGAAAATATCAACTTGGGGCTCATGGCAGCCAGAAAGGCAAGTCAGTCTGTGAAGACTGCTAGGAAAGGATTAATGGGCAAAATGTAAAGCATGATTAACCCTTTGGATGAATCTATGGCATGCCCATATGCTCAGCGCTCTGAGGAGTTCTGGTCCTTAAATCTCAAAAGATACCATAGGACTAGGAAAGGTACAGAAGGAGCAACCAGTCGAGGTAAGATATGGAGCGTCTACGCAGAAGAAAAGATTAAACAGGTGATGACTTCAGCAAATAAGAAATTACTCTAACATTTATACGTATAGAAGCCCATAAAATGCAGGGAATGGAGAAGGTGAAAAGAGAAAAATTATTTTCTGTTTCTCACAATTTGAGAACGGGGCTGTCAGGTTATCGCTAGTAATTTTAAGCAAATAAACACTTTACTGCTTAAGAAATATATTTATTTTAGTGGAAAGAGGAAACCAGACAGGTTGTAGAAAGCAAGTTAAAAACGGACATCTGAGGCTGTTTTCTAGGAGATTATATGAGCTCTTCTCAGGTCTTTCAAAAGCCTTGGAATTGAAAGCGCTCAGCTCTTCGTTGGCTTAAGCCCTTATTACTGCCAATCCCCCTTTAAAGCCTAGGCAAAATCAACTTATCCACAAGTTCTTCATTATTTCTTTGAGGCGCATTTGCTGCTGGAATTTTATTCCCTAGATGCTGGAGCTGTTTCTTCCTCTTGTCTCTTAATGGTCTTCTGGCAAATTAGGTATTTCATCTGCTTTTTTCTTTTTCTGGATCTTGAACAAAGTAACTTATGGAGCATGTAAGGTTTGATACACATCAGATTTTCTCTAGCCAGAAATTTATGGCTAAAATAAAATAATGTGACTTTGACCGAGTACACTTGAAACATTATAATTATAGAAGATCCAGGTTCACAGCTCACAGACATAGAAAATAAGTTTGTTTTATTTTATTAGATTTCTTGTAATATGTTCAAACAAAAACAAATGTGCATATACACGCTCTGTCAATACTGCCAAGTACAATTTATTAAGGTTTATAAATTTATTCCACTAGGTCACTTTATTGTTAAACAGGCATTGAATGCAGGATCAATGCCAAAGCTGGGAAGGCTAAATTTCAGAGTTAACAATCTCATCTTTCTGTTAAATAAGTTTGTAAAGGACATTTCTTGAGGAAGTCCTAATTAATTGCAGACCTAAAACCTGGACTGTATTTCTGTTAATGCTATTGTATCGTTCTGATATATTCAAATATCTTCTTTTCCTTATTTGCATAAGCTGTAACTTGCACTGGCGTTTCACTCTTCCCTGACGGCTGCAAAGCCCCTCAGCCACAGTCATTGTAATCCAGAGCTGAGACTGGGAATGCGTTTTGGGGCTATCTCTTGGTGCTTTGTGATTAACTCGGAGGCCCAGGGAGAATCTCCTGGTGTTGACAGTGCCTGACAGTAGGTGTCACATGAATTGAGAGGGAGCTCAGAGCCTTCTGGTGACTGCTATGAGAAGAGACATCATGACAGAAAACCTGATTGATGAGCAATGCCACAAGTAGAAGGAGTGCTGTGTGGCGATTGCCTATAATTGAATGGTCCATGGAAGTTATTTCTGGATTTCCTCTGAATGGTGACATATACTTTCAAAGTGTTTTTCCTGTAGGAGACCTACAGATTTTAACCCGTTTACTCAGCAACTGCCTGTTAATGCAGCGTATTAACAGCCTTTAAAACGTAACAGACCATTTTTACTTCCTGCCTAGCATGGAGCCGTATCATAAATAATTAAATAAGTATCGACAACCAAAGATGGTCAGTCATGTAATTACCTTGAGAAACGTTTCTGTGTCAGCTTTTGCCTCTTCCTTTTAGTGCTTTCTCCTTATGGCTCAGTTCTGTGATCTGACAACAAAGAAACGTTGATTATCAGGGTTCTTCCTGATTCTGGTGGTACGCTCCTGTGACGCGGGCTTGTCGCAGCCGTGTTAAGCGCAGCCGTGATGCTTGTGGCAGTATATAGGATGTGAGAGGTTGTAGCCCCCTCGCCCAGCAAAGCATCTGCTCTCACCGGCCAATTAAATTGGCTGCTTTCTCATTAAAACCCTTGTGCAGATTCTAGTATGTCACAGATCTTTAAAATCTCCATTATGAATTCCACTTTCTTCTGGGTATTTTTAGCTTGTACTTGAAGAAATGATTATTGTCTCTTGCACTTAAATATATCAGTTTCAGCTCCGTGGACATCTCCTCTGGGCCATATTGAAAGACCTGAGCTGACTTTAACTGCTGAATCCTTAGGGAGGATTTCAACAGAGCTCTGAGTGCTTGGACGTTGGAGCTCTGGAAAAAGGAAGAGGGAGAGAAATCAAGCCCTCCCCTCTTCCCTTTGGGGAGGCAGAAGCACATCCGTTACAGATTTACTTGGTTGTGCCAATTTAATGTGATTTTTTTCTGAGGGCCAGGAACCACTCAAGGAAGGCTGACACGTTTTATCAACAGAATGGAAACTGCAGTGATAAGGTGAGAGTTATTGACCTGATAACTAACAAACAGAAAACTTCACTGTCCCTCAAGCTAAATATTGCACTCAGGAGGTAAGTAAAAGATGGCAACAGCTGTGGTCTTGACACTGAGTGAGAGTATGTTTTAGTGTGGAAGAGCAGGAGGTGAACTGTGAAAACAAACACATTCAGTTTGCTACAGACTGTTTCCCTCTATTACTTTTAATGAGAGCTAAAATCCAAAATGCACAATGGGACAATAATATTATGGATAGAAGAAACTGTTCATACAGCTCCTAATTTCTAGGCACCAGGATGCAATTAAAATGATTGCATAATATTAATAGTTCACCATTATCAGGTATGGGACCAATTGGTACTAGCCACTGCACAAACTGAAGCAAATGGTGTGCTGTCCTTGAAGAAGCAATAAGCTAATAACCTGAATCTAAATGAGAGAAGAGTAAAAAGGTGAGAGGAGTTGTGATAAAATGCATCATTATATAGGCTGGTAAGTACGTGGCTGGATTGTCATAGTTAAATGCTGGTAAATATTGCCTAAGGTTTTTTTTTTTTCTTTCTTTTTTGGAATTCTAAAATTGTAGAATAGGGAGAGCAAATGGGAAAAGAAGGGGAGGCATCCACTGAATGAGGGTTTAGAAGTACCAGGAACAAAAAGCACTACAACAACAACAGGGTCTTTTTGTCCTGCCTTTTTTTTTCTCTTCTCATATATTTTTTTCTTTTTTTCTTTTTTCTTCTGAAGAACGTGCATGGGGTTGTGTCTGAAACCTGTCTGTCCTGGTTCTCACATGCCCCTTGAAGTTCTTGTGTGACAGAATATGAAGGATTCAGTGGCTGAACAAAAAGGCACAAGACAAAGCTCTCATACAATCTCCATTTCCCTCCTGTGGCACCTGGCCTACTCAGTGCAACTGGGAAAGACAAAGGCAAGCAAATCATCATTTCCTATTCGTTTTCTGCCTGCTAACTTTTTTTTTATATGAAAGCAGTTTTTTACTTCTTATCGTGTTCATCATCCTTCCATGCATCTCGTCTTTTTTCTGCTATGGCTTTCTGCTGAGGTGAGGGTCCCAGAGCTGTACTTGGTAGTCAAGCAGCAGCTGCACGATAAATTCATGCAGTGGCATAGTCATATTTTTCTCTCTGCTGATGATCTTCTTCCATTGAGAAAACTCATCATTTACTCTTATCTTCTGTTTCCTCTATTTAACTGGTTATTTATCTCTGTGAGGTCCTTACCTCTAATCCATGGCTGTTTAGTTTACTTAAGAGCCTTTCATGAGGGATCTCCTTAAATCTGTGTGGTGTCTGGGAGCTTGGGGTAAGTTCGAAGTGCGTGGAAAATCTTTCACCTGGGACTCCCTTTTTCACATATTTTTGACTCCTTCAAAGAATTCCAGTGGATTTAAGAGGCTTAGATTCCTTTGACAAAAGTCATGTTTATGCTTCCTTAAAGTGTCACACTTACTCATATTAGTCACTCATTCAATTCTTTACTAGAGCTTCCACCAATATGACCAGTGTAGACATTAGACTTAGTGGTCTGTGGTTCCTAGATTCACCCTTGGGTTTATTTTTAAAAACCGTTTTCATATTAGTTACCTTCCGGTCCTCTGATAATCGTAGCAATTTTCAACAAAAGGTTACATACTATAGGTATTAGCTTGGATAATTCATATTTAACATTCTGTAAACATCTTAGATAAAATACCGTCCACTGCCAGTGATGTGTTATTGTTCGTATCTGTCTGATCTACTCTTAACAACATTTTATATTAAGACAAGCCTTCTGTGAGTCCCTAATAGGCAACGTGCTGTGTCAGAGTTTCTCCAAGATTGTCCAGGTGAATAGAGATGCAAGCCCCGTGTCTATTTAGATGTTTGGATTTTTTGCTATGGCAAAATCTCTTCTGAGTGCTTCTTTTATACCTGTGTAGGCCACTGGCTCTTGTAAGCTTCTTGCTCTTGATGTGTTCACAAAGGATTTATTACAATTTCTTTTTCTTTAGCAAACTGCTTCTAAACTCTTTCCTCAGTCTACGTTACTGTGCTTTTACATTTAGTCTGCCAGAATTTATGTTCTTTTTAGTTTTCCTTTTTCAGACACAACTTCAGCTTTTTGCAGGATACCTTTTAACTTCCAACAGCCTCCCTGATCCTGCTGTTTTATGATGCTAGCTTTTTGTTTTTCTCTCAAGTCTTTTTTGACAGGTTATATGCATTTGCTTTGAGCCTCCAATATAGAATCTTAAAATAGTCTACCTGCCATCTGAAAACATTTTACCTTTCTGGCTGCTACTCTGAGTATTTTTTTTAACAAAAGTTCCTCATTTTTGAATTCGCTCTTTCTGAAATCAAGCACAAGTACTTCAGTTGCCAACATTTCTTTACTTGGGAGTATGCAGTCATGAACTGGATATAAGGATTAAGGGTTTTGGCCTAGCCCACTTCCTAGAAAGGCTGGAGATACTAGCCATTAACATTTCGTCATTAACTGAGAACAGATAAAGAGGTAGTTTGCCAGGGCTGGAGATGGTGGAATTTTCTGCTCTGGAACATCAGCTTCTCTTTCCAACCTGCGATAGAAAAAATAACAACTGACACTTGGAATAAAAAGCAACCTGGGCTGATTTGTCACGACATGAAGTTTGATACTAGTTGTACTTGAGCATCTCTGATGTGGCTAGGAGCCTGCGCTTGTGGGAAGCAGAGTGAGGTGGCAGAGAGTCATGCTGACAGCATCCCTTCTTAGGTCAGTTGACATGGGAACAGTCTGATATACCAAGAAGTCTGGGGAGATAGTGGGTGAACGCAAATAGTTCTCCACTATGATAATGCTAGATAAACCAGACCTTTTGAGTGCTTCATGACTTCAGTTTGCATATAACAAAATCTTGGATAAAGCATGACAACAATAGGACAAAGATGGCAGATGGCTGAGGGTGGTTTGCTAGCTAATTCTCTTTGGGTCTCCACAATTCCAAACTGTGCCTTGCAGCAACTAGTGGCAGCTTACTAGCAGCTCCAAAGCTGCTCTGAAACTGGTGGGGATGAGCAGTCATTGCCAAGCAGGTGCTGCAGTCCAGCGTGGGAATGCAGCAACAGATTGGCTCATGTTTCCTTACTAAGGAAAAGCGTTTCCTCTGAGGTTAAGAGGAACCACTAGTTAGCGTCTGCAGAATACATTTCAAGCCAGAATAAACCAGCAACCCCAGCTGCTGGCTAGCACTGACTGCTTAGCAACAGTGAGAATGATATGGATACAGATAAATTAACTTTTCTTAGCAAGCTGGGTAAGAACAGAAGTAATTAGCTGCTAGCTGATGAAAAGCCATGCTAAATTATTAGTATAATTATAGATATAATAGACGAGGAATTATTCAGTGAGTGTAAGAGAGCCAATACATTACAAAGAAGGTGATCCGAATGGAAGAAAAATTGACAACAATGTGAATTTATGAGAAGGAGATGTAAAGAATTAAGATTAAAAAAAATCTTATGGCTGCAAGAGTTTCCACTCTTTGACACTCTCCCTCCAGCAGTACTACAGCACAACCATTTATTTGATGAGTCTAGTGGGAAATTGAGCTATAGCTGGTTTTAATCAATATTGGTAATTGATTATAATATTTTGATAAGGCATCACTGCTTCCCCTTGGCACCTTGGGTACGTAATCATGGCTAAGAAGCAGTCATGTCAGTCAGCTGCCCTGTCTGGCCACTGTATCTTAAACAGTTTTCCATATGGCTAGAGATAATAGGCTAAACTGTAGTAGCAGAGACATTAGGAATATGTTGTTAATATTGGATGAATAATCACTGGAATGGATACTCTGGAGAGGGTTTTAAGTACATCTTTGCATATGTCAGAACTGACATAAGTATTGCTGGCCCTGCTTTTGTGCTAGGGAATGGACCAGATGCTAATGGGAACAGTGATGATTGGTATCTTCTGTAAGAATCTGCACGTGGAGAGGACCAAGATATGTGCACTTTTTCTAAAGTTATCATAGCTATGGATGGCAGTGTATTGGGAGACTGTCACCAGGAGCTCTAATCCAGGTCTTAGGGGACTGAAGGTAGTGGTGCCAAGTGGTTACAGACCCTCTGCCCATTGCACTGGTTAGAAAGGAAAATATAAATACAAATTTTCTGTTGAACTACAGTTTGAGGGCTAATTATTAAAATGGCGTTTGATTAATGAGTTGTAAGTCAAGCTAGTTTGGCAAATAGCACTTTGATAAGGTATTTGTAAGACTGACCATCTTAAAATGGTAAGATGAAGGTATGATGCTGTGACCTTAATGATGCCATTGATACAGCAACGATGTAAACGTGCATGAGCAGTTACTGTATGAAGTCACTAGGGTACATCAGGACGAATGGAGTAGTGACGAACTGATGCGCATCAGCTGAGCACAGAATCATGGAAGCTGGAAGAAATCTCAGCAGATCACTTAGTCCACCTACTTCGGCCTGTGACAAGCTTGGCATATGTTGAACTGTTCTTTGTCTTCCGTTTTGTAGCAGCCTTTTGTATACATCAAGACTGTCATTGCATCTCCCCTCAGTCTACTCTTTTTTGTAGCACCTATGTTCTCGGTCTTTTGATTCCAGTCATGTTTTTCAAACCTTTAACTGTTGATGTTCTTGCTGCTTGGCCTGTGAGCCTTTCTTGAAGAGGAATACCCAAGACTGGACATGCCTCTTCACTGAGGTCTTACTCATACATAGTATGGTGACAGGACTGCTTCAGATGTCTTGCAGTTGATTCTGATAATGCATCTGTGTAACGTTTTCTCTTTGCTCAAGAGAATGACCCTTGTTCAGCTTGTGATCTATCAGAACCTTCAGATCTATTTTTGGCGGATTGTTTTCTGCCCAGCTGATGTCCATCCAGTGTTTTCTCCTGACTAAGTTGAAATGCCCCACTTAGTACAATTGAGATGAGTTCTGATTTACAGATGACTTCTCCAAGTTGTTAAAAGTTTTTAATACTCCTATCCCCTATGCATTTGTAGCCTTTCTTAGCACATTTAATGTTGGCAGGTTTAATAAACAAGCTCCATTCCCTCTTTCGGGATATCAATAAAAAACGGAGTGGAACTGATGAACAGCTGAGGAACCATTCAATTCATCCTTTAAGTTTCACAGTGAACCTCTGGAAACTACTCTGTGTGTGGATTCCAGCCAGATTTGCTCAGTGACTTCATCCTGGGCGTTCTTGCACTGCCTCTTAGGAAATTGTCCTGTGAGACAACTGCAGAAGCCTCACTAATCTTGAGCTGTGTGCTATCTACTGCTTTTTCCCTACCCACAGAATCTCTCATCCCTCAGAGAGGGGAAATCAGATTGAATCAGCTTGAGTTGTTCGTGAGGAGTCCATATTGACAAGCACTCATCTCCTACAGTTTTTTGTGTGCTCAGACATCTTTCAGATCATCCTGGTGTGTTGTTTTGATGGAAATACGCTGTGAGGCCCATGTTTCCTGCCATCTCTCTTTGCCCCTTATTAAAGACATGTACTATGTTAGCCCTTCCAGTCTTTTGATATCCTGCTTACCCCGTTTGACTTGCAGAAGATGACTGCGAGTGATTCTAGTTGTTTGGATGTGTAGAAAGTTTGAGGGCTGTTGTGAAGAGAGCAGATACATATTGTCACCAGGAGAAACCCTGTGTCAGATGTGAAATTCCTGCACTAAACGTGGAGATACAGAAGCTTCTCAAGACGATGGTGGAAAGAACATTTTAACAACAACAAAAAATTACCTCGCTCTGAGAAATTACAGTACAAATTCATCTTAATTAAAAAAAAAAAAAAGAAATTTGAAGCTAGCTTGGGAGACTTCTGGACAGTCTTGCAGAAGTATGATCAAGATCACAGGAAAAAAAGAAAGAAAGTTGGGAAACCTTAAATTTAGGTTGTACTAACTTCCTTGCCTATAAATGATTGGTAGTGAACAGCTAAGAAAATAGAAATAGAGTTTAAACTAAATTTCATAACCTTTTAACCCGGGAACCCTAGATCTCCTTAGCAAAGTGTTTGCTGGACTCTAATATATACTCACTGTTGACACGGGCTTATTCACAGAACAGAATGACCTTTGCACAGCTCGGTGATAAGTGTTTGTGTGTGTGGCAAGTTCTAGTAACTCCTATTCACCCACCTGACTGTATGTTTGATCTTACTGAAAAAATCTGTTGTACTCTGTCTGATGACACTTCTGCTGGAGTGTTTGGTACTGTCTGCATAGAAGGTGTGTATGTGTATTTATATGATCGGTCTAGTATATCAGTCAGAAAGGAGAGGCTATGCACTGCATTCGTATGAACTGTGTGCTTGTTTTCAGAAACCTTATTTGGCCTGAATTCAGTATTTTAAAGGGCAAAAAACACTACCCAGCACACTCTTAACTATGCGTTAGCAAGCCTTTTTGCCAGTAGTTTCCCGTGCGCTTCATTGTGTGGAATTATCATAACGCTTGTGCCTTGAAACGTTTGGAAGATGGAACTGCTGGTAGAGAAAGGAAATCAAAAATATTATCAAAGTCGAGAAATGTAGATGGATGTATTCTATGTTGGTCACAGGAATTTTAAAGCGTGTATGGGAGCCCTTTTATGGCTCTTTCTTCTTTCATCCTTTGTTTCATCATCTTCTGCCATATAAATCCCCTTTTCCTTCCTGGTCCTTCAAGCGTAAAGAGTTGTAGAAGCACTTTAGAAGTCATTAGTGTATGGAAAGTGTTTGTTGCTTTCTGGTATCCTTTGGTTTTGCAGGGACCCTCCACAGGCAGGTACTCGCTGGAAGGTCAGAAGTATTTGTGGTGGTGAAGCTGAGACATACAGGAATTTACTGAGGATAGGGGTGCAAGGCAATGCAATATGGATTTTATAACACAGAGGTGAGTAATTTTTTAAAATCATGAGCGTTTTTGAACGTTAACTATAGGGAGCCATTCACATCTTGCTAGGGACTGGTTTAAAAAGAAGATTTAATTAGCGTGAAAAATTTTTTAAACAGTCGGAAGTAAAAATGACATTAAATTGGTTGAAAGAACAGAGTTACAATAACAAAATAACATTTAACAAATAAACGAGTAGCTAGGAAAGGGTGCTAGGGAGACGTGCTTCTTGGAGATCGGAGAGGCACCTAAGCTTGTCCGTTTCTGTGACGGCAACTGAAACGAAGAAGCGGCCAAACCCCCGCTCTCTCCTAGCGTATTGTACTCCACAGTAATCAGGTTTAGTAACACATTGCTGAGAAAAAGACTCCCACTAGTTAGTATTCATTATAGACAACATTTTTCAGGTTGCAGTGCGGCAGTGTCTTCAGACAAGCTACACTGAAGAAGGTCGTTTGTCCAAGCTCTGATTTATTCTTGGTATTCGTTAACTACACAAACCAATGGTCCCACCAACTTTAAATAAGGAATTTTCCAGTACTTTTTCCAGGAGGCCAAAATTTTAGCGTAACCGTCTTCCTGCTGTAGGACAGGCTTCTTGTGGTTCCCTTGTGAGGCTGAAACATCTGGCAAATCTCACTTTTGTGAGTCATGGTAGATCTGTGTCCCTGCTTGGCTGCTGCTAGCTGTCTAGTTTCCATGTCCGTTTACACTGCACTTTGTATATGTTGTCTTCACTAGGAGGGAGCCCGTCCCTGCAGAGAGGCTGGTGTGTTAACTGCACGTGCTGTTGTGCTGGGACTCCAACAACCGTGAGCAGAAGGCTCCCTGGGCAGACCAGAGGGACCACCAGACCTGGACGCTACTTCTACTTCATGGGCTTTCACATGCAATATGTCCCTTCAGTGTGGGCCTGGTACTGCAACAGCTGACCAGTGCTGAGATATTTGATCATTAATTCCTGAAAGCTTGCAGGGTACTGAGCCCTGCAGCAGAGATGGGAGCCATGGCAGGGCAATGCCCACAGGCCTTGGCCCCAGGTTCCCTCTAGCCTAGCAGAGCTGGCCTAGCAGAAGCGATCTAACGCACTGAGGAGAGGCCTTGTGTTTGACAGCCGTGTTCCAATCAGGGGGCCTGTGTGAGTCTCTGGAGAGCTGTAGTAACGGGAGATCTCTCCAGCTCCCTTCCCTGAGCAAGGGAGTTTACCTTGTTCTGCCAGTAGAGGCTCTTGCCTTTAAACATGAATCTTCCTTCAGAACCTACTCCTTGAGGTTTCCTCCCTCTCTTCTACATAGGTCTGATAAAGCCTCCTTGCAGGCCCTTTTGAAAGCTCGGTGATAGAGACTCCTCTGACCCCCTTACCCTGGGTCCAGGGATCCCATTGTCTGCAGTGCAGTGGCAGAAGACCTCTCCATCCTTTCCTTCCAGCTGGAGGTGTTATGTGTCCTGCCCATCCCTCCTGTGCTTCCCTGGCTCCCCTCTTGGGAAACGCCTTGTGAATATCTGCCTTTTTTTCTGAGGGATCCGTGACAGAGGACCTTAGAGGATTTAATTCCTCCCCACAAGTATGCCATAATAATATCTAACTTTTAAAATAGGACTTCCTTAAATGTGTGGAAGCTTTTAAAAGGAAATTAAAGCAGCAGCTGTAAGCATGCAGTGCTAGCAGGAGATGAGAACTGATGAAAAAACTTTCATCTGAAGCTCAGAGCAATATATCACTAAGTGAAATAATTCTACAAGGGACCAGAAAGGCAATATGCTAACAGCCGAGTAGAAGAGAGTATTCAAAATCTGGGATTTCTGAGTAAATAAAGAAACTATATGAAAAAGAACGCATAAACTGTCAAACTAAACCTGTAGGAAAAGCAAGGAAAAAATTTAAGGTGCAAACTCACCAAAGGAGTAAGAACTACTTGTATCCATTTTTTCAAAACTGCCAGAGCAAGGTACTTAGCCAGAGATTTGGTGAACAGATGATCAAGCTCTGAAAGAAGTACTGCAACAGGAGAAAATTGTGGTTGAACAAGAAACTGAAGCTTTGCGTTGGTGCCAGCTATGGCTGAAGTAGGTTATTCTCCCATGAGAGCCAAACTTTATGGGGACAAATGTAAGGAACTGTCTCAAATTAAATGGCATTAAAATGCATTTTGGAACTAATTGATAAGATGAACAGTAAGAAATTGCCAGCACCATATGGTATTCAGTCAAGAGCTCTGAAGGAAAACAAATATGCAATTATGGAGCTACTATAGTGTGTAACCTGTCACTTAAATCAGCCTCACTACAGGAGGGATAGAGGATGGTAAATGTGACAGCAATCTCTGGGAAGGACCCCAGGAGCAACGCGGAGAATTGCAGACCGTCACGTTGGAGCCTGTACTGAGCAAATGAGTGGAAATTACAAGAATATAACGCAAATGGATAAAACCCAACGCTTTAGGGAAAGTTGTGTAGTGAGAAACCCCATTTCACAAATCCGTTACAACTCCTGAAAGACTTCTGAAGATGCAGCTAGCGTGATCTAGTCATAATGACAGAAGAAATGCTCCAGTGAGTCAGACCAGTGATCCATCTCCCTGATTATCTGCCCGTTGTCCCTATGACAATAGGATGTGCTGTTTCCAGGGAATAAACAAGCCTGGCCCCTCTCTGTAGTCCATTCCTCTCATGCTCCTCCAGCATCCACAGTTAGTGTGTTAGGGAAGATAAGAGAGGACATCCTCTGCCTAGTTCATTCAGTATCTGTTTACAGACCTGTGGTCCATGAGTTTGTCTCATCTCTTTTTGAACCTGTCTCTCTGCTTGACGTCCTGTAACAGCAAGCTGTAGAAGGTCACTATGCTCTGTGTAAAGAAATACTTTTTTTAAACCGATCTACAAGTTTCATTAAGTACCTGCTAGTTCTTATATCATAGGCTTTGGAGAACAACTGTTCTGCGTTCGGCTTATTCACCACCTTCATGATTTTATAAACCTCAGTTATATCCCCCTCAGCTGCCTTCTCTCCAAGCTGAGGAGTCCTTTTAGTATCACTTCCAAAGCAAGAACTAGAAATCAATTTAATCTGTCTGAAGGTTCTTCCTAGTACTGATAATTAAGCTGTAAAATGCTTTGCCATAGGATATTGTGGATGCTCAAAGTTTATATGTGCTCAGGGGAGTAACAGGAAAAGTAAATGGAGGGAAATTAAGTTAAAGTGTAATCTGCTAAATATTAAAATGAAGGATACTACTTCTCACTCAGAAAGTCTTAAGGAAACTGTTGGAAAACAGAATAATATTTCAAGAAAGCGTTGCTCTCTGCCTGCTATGTTCTTAGATGCTTTCCCCAGGTATCTGTATTGGAAACAACACGCTGTGTTAGACGAACCTTTGATCTGACCCAGTGCAACCTTTCTTACGCTTTGTTAAGTTCTATCAAAAGAAAATAAAATGTAGGTATGAATGTAAACGCTTCTGATAGTAACAACTTCCCAGTGAATGCTGAACTCATCTCCCCGCTATACAAGCAAACGGTGAATTTTTATTTGAATGCTAATGAAGATCTCACCAAGATGCTGCTAGGTCTCATCTAACAAAAAGAAAAGCTAAATGGGAAAATGAACAAAGGATCTTTAAGAAGGGATGAAAATGTGTTGCCAATATTGATATCATTAACCACTCATAGGTGAAAAATATGCTTGAACTTACTCATGTAATTTGAAATAGGTAAAGCAAATATTAAGAAGAATATTTTCTTACAATTAGTCCATCTCTTCTGTCCCTTGACCCGAAAAGATCCAGAGTTAATACTCAAAAGGTGGATCCTTCTACAGTGATGTAATATAGCCTAGATCTCTTCCAGTTTTTGAATCAGAGCTGAGGCAGGTTTCTTTTACAAAGTAGTGCAGCAGTCTAGTAAAAGAGTTGTTCCCTGCTAGAAGAATATTACATGCAGTTCTGAGAAAAATGAACATAGTCAGCTTGTTTGAGGGCTAACTGATGCTTGCCCACAGCACTGATTAGCTTGACGTTTACTGAGAAGTGCCACAATTCTCAGTCCAGTGAAAAATCCCAAGATGATGCTTTTTCAGTGATGTTTTACGATCTGTTGACTCAAGATAAGCTGAAGTCCTTCAAAGACTCAAAAATAAGCAGAGGAGTTAGGTTCCACATTAATTACGTGCAGACGTACTAGCCTTCCTTGGTATCTTTGTTAACTATCATGGTCTGTCTACTGATGCTTTGCAAGTTGTCTATGCCTTATGTGTCATATTTCATTCCTGTAATACATGAAAACCACTTATGCAAGAGTTCTTGGTGCTTTGATTGCAATTACACAAATTATACTTGGAATAATGCCACTTAGCACCACTACATAAAACCAAAAGCTAGCAGTCATCTTAGGTAGTGTTCTGGGTCTTATTATGATCTTTGCGTGTGGTCTATGTTCTGGCTTTATGTGGCATCCATGATATCTAGTGATAAAGGACTCTTCAGGAATAGACCTGAAAAAGACTGGTGCCAAAGGCTTTTGAATGTCCAAGTAGATTATGTCAAGCGATTCCCTTTTGATCATTACTGTAGAAATATGTTCAAATAAATCTAAAATATTAGTGAGGCAAAATTTTCGTTGCAGGCACTGCGATAATTAGCTTTTACTATATCACATTCCTTATCTAGGAACTCCATTATTCTGCTCTTAATTATCATTTTGACCAACTTTCAGTGTGCAGAGCTATTTCTCTGGCTCATCTTATTTTCTTTCTAAATAGACATGTAACTCAAATAGTGAGTATGAATTTTCTGACAAAATTTTTTTTCAGGGGGAAAAAAAATTCTTATTTATCAAAACTTGAACTTTTCACAGGAACATATATTCCAGATGTCAGAAGTTGCAAAGTCTATGACTTCGGGTGGTAGTTTGTTCTCAAATTTAATCATCACTGCTGTTAAAAAATGTGTGTTTCATTTCTGGTTTGAATCACTTTCATTTTTCAGCCCTTAGTCTTTCTTCTGTCTCTGTTAGATTAAAAAGTGTTGGTTGATATTTTCCCCTTGTGAAGACATTTATCGAATCACTTCTCAACTGAGCTGTTTAAGTTTCTCAGTTACACATGTTCTTCTGTCCTCATATACTTTTTATGGCTCTTTTTCTGCCCCCAATCTAATTTTTCAACATCCTTAAATGTGAACATCAGTATTAGATATACTAGTGGTTTCAGTGATGCGGTATCCAGAGGTTGAACTGATTCTTTATTTCTAATCACTTCTCCCATTTTATCGTGCTTTTACCGAGAGCATTTGTGGTGAGGTCCTTGTCCATTAAGACCTCCTAAATCGTAATAATTGCACTCAAAGATACAGTTTTCTGTTCTGTAAGAATAGCCCATATTCACTGTCTCTAGGTGGTTGGTTCACTGACTACTACTTCTCGAACATACTCCTCTTGCATGTTGCATGATATTAAGCTGAGAGCAGCCTCTGTTCTGGGATGTTCGGGATCTAATAGTTCTGAAAAGCACTGTTTTATTAAATTGATTCTGTAAACTTTTTTCCCGTTATACCATTATATCAGTCAATTTATGGATAGTTAAGGTCCCTGCGTTTAGTTTTTCTCCTCTCAGCACTAAATGCTGTCGTCTTTCTCTGGTGACCGATGAGATAACCCTACTCATATATTTACATTCATACAGCTCAGGAAATGCAGCCAGACACTTTTAGCTGTGTAGTCTTTTCCAGTAAGAATTTTAGTCTCACTGGATTCCATGAAAAAAATTTTGATATAAGATAAATTATTTCACTTTTATGACTTACACTCACTTTCCATAGTTTATGGCCACGTACTATAGTATACCATTGGTTTTGTCACTGGGATTTACTATATTATGCTACGTCAAAATCCGATTTTATTATCGAATTTTACTTCATCTACTTCATCATTTACTTCATCTTCTTTAAGCTTTTGCCTGTATATACACAAATTTATAGTTCTGAATTTTTGGTGTGCACCTGTATTTAAATTGTTAGTCCAATGTCTTCTTGGTGTAATACAATTTCACCTGTGAACTATTCCCAACCACATTCTAACTATTCCTAACCCTGTTCAACTTGGTTGTTATACCAACCCTTAGCAATCTGTTTGCTTTACCTGGTGACAGATTTCCCCAAGCTCCTGCTTAATTAAACACATCCTATACGGTTTCCTTGTGAGCAGTCTGGTTTCACTTTTGAGTTTTGACGGAGACCGTCACCTCTGGATAGCACCTTCTTTCTCTCTGCCTAATTGGGGTTGTGCGTGTAACTGGAAGAGTTTCAGAGAAACTGTCAATAGTACCCTGGGGCTAAATCTTCTAGCCAGCAATCTGATTTTACCTTCCAGGATCTTCTGCTTGCATTTCACTTTAAAATTCATGACAAGTAGTGTGACCGCATGCTCCTCCCCAGCACTCACTAGCATCCACCTCAGTGTCTCATGAAAGTCTTGTTCATATTCTGCCTACCAGTCAGCAAGTTCCTGTCATCACATCCACAGCTGCTGTTGATCCTGGTATTTAGGTTCCCATCAGCGCAGTAGACTGAAAAGTTCTCAGCTAAAATGTATTTTCAGATATAGCCTTCCTGGAGTTATCAGTTTACCTTTCTTCAGCTGGAAGGCAGACCCCATCTTCGCTATGTTACGCTGTGCTACCCTACTCTACCCTATGCTGTCCGTTGTGAGAGGAGCCTCAGCCTCCTTGAAGTGGGGGTGAGAGCAACCAATTTGAGCTTGGCCTCGTCTCTAATGTCCTTTTGCAGTGTTTTGTGTCCTATTTTTTCCTCTCTTTGCTCCTCCAGATCCGAACCTCTGGCCTCAGACTGCTCTGTGCATGTGCTATGAGAACCATATGGGTAATGAAGACACTAGCTGAAGCAATTACTAAAGTATTAGTGACTATCATGGAAGACAGTTAAGATCACTGAGCGCTACAGAAGAGCAAACACAGTTTACACTTTTGAAAAAGAGAAACTGGGGAACTAGAGACCAGTCTGCCTAGAAATAAGTCTGAAAAAATATTAAATGATCAGTTTAAAGCGAGATAAGATAAAAAGGAAAACAAAAAGGCCAAATAGATCTGCCAAGAATAAATCATGCAATCTCAATCTAATTTCCATCTTTGAGAAAATAATGTCTACTAGATGAAGAGGAAGAAGCAGATGGGACATATTTTGCTTTAGGAAAGCTTTTGAAACTGTTCCATATGATTCTCTCGGAAGCAGACCAAAAAAATATGGTCGATATCAGTGTGCCCAGTATTTCTGGCTAGGTGAATCACTTACCTTCTTTCTCTATCAGGGAGAGACCATATGTTGCAGCCATTCCTCTAATGCCTAAGTGCATTGTGCAAGTGCAGAGAAGCCAGTGCTTCCTGGGGCAATGAGATTTATTGCGTATGTGCAGACAGATCCACATATTGCCATAATCAGAGGCATGAATTCGGCTCCTAGAGAAGATGGCCTGCAGTGTACCCAAAAAGCCCATCTGGTGGGCAGTCCTGCTCCCTGTAGACTCTAGTCTGGATCCAGAAAACAGTAGGGGAGATGGTGCCCAAATTAATTGTCCTGGCAAGCCATGCACAGTTCGTAGCTTTAGGTTCATCATTTAGAATGTATGTGATACTACTGTAATGTGGGTGGCAATGGTGCACTGTCAGATTGGGAGGCTATTTGGACTGGAGTCTTGCTGGAGTTATGTCCTGGGCCTAGTTCTGCCCTGTATTTTAATTAATGACTTAGATGATAGAACAGAGAACTCGCTTATAAAATGTGTGGATAATACTGAGATGCACTATGAAGGTCAGAATCAAAGTTCTAATGATCTTGAGAAGCTGGGGAATGTGATCCAAAAATCAACTGAAAGAAAATAGAAAGAGATAAGTGCAAAGCGCCACATTTATGAAAGAGAAGATAAATGCCAAAATATGAAAAAGGGGTAGCTGATTAGGCAGCAGTATTGCAGGGAAGGATATGGGAATTGGAGAAAATCAAAAACTAAACATGAGTGAGCAATCACAAAAGTGTCATACTGGGAGGTCTTAACAAAATGTTTTATTACAACATGGGAGGAAGTCGTATTTTCCTCAGTGCTGGAGTGCTGGCCTTTTCTGGAATTTTGTATCCACATGTAGTGCAAGGGAAAGCTGTTCTTGTATCATGTGGATACCAATGACAGAGGAATGAGGAGGGAGGAAATTCTGAAAGTAAAATCACAGTACTGTAAACTCTCCCAGTACCATGTTGGCCAGCCAGACAGGCAGATTCTCAGTCACTGATGAGGTAGATTTTACAGGAGAGGTAAGCTATATAAATTAGTATAAAAACTAGACTGCAGGGATTTCACATTCCAAAGTGGTGAAGTATTTCTATACTTGCATTTGGGCAAACTCACCAAACGTGCAAGTGAACTTAGTTCAAGGTGGCATCTCCTCATCAGGAGAAATAAGAAAATTCTTGTAATGTAGAAAAATGGAAAGAACTGAAATCAATAACATTGAGGAAGGAAATAGCAAAGAATGATCTCAGCAATTAAAGTCCCAGTTAAGCAGGCCACGTGAAAAATGAGCAACTAGATCAATAAAAAATGTTGAAACGTATCTATACAAATGCTGAAGGCTAAAAGAGGTGAACTAGAAAGTCTGATTTTAAAGGAAGTTATTGACATAATAAATGCCTCAGAAGCTTGGCAGAAGGATGGGAAACTGTAATAATAGGGAACAATTATAGAGGAAGGATGAAAAGGGGTACATTAGTGGTGAAGCAGTGGAGAGCATGAGGAATTGTCCCTAAGTGAAGTTTCAAGTAGAGAACATTTTGGAACAAATCAATAAAATGAACAGTAAGAAAGCATCAAGATAAGATGATACTTAGTCAAGAGTTCTGAAAGACCTCGCACACCAGATCAAGAGAAGGCTAAACGTAGCATGAAAAGTGTCATTTAAGTTGACCGCACCGCAAGAAGAATGGAAAGTGGTGAATGTATCTCCAGCCTTGAGAAAAAGGACTACAGGAGTAAAGTGGAAAACTGTAGATCAGTAAATCTCACTTCCAAACTGAATAAATGGGGAAAAAGTATAGTAATAAAGAAGAAAACTGGTAGACAATTTCATAAATGTGATTTATTTGGAAAAAGTCATTATGGTTCTTGTAGAAGGAGACCATGTCTCATAAATCTATTCAAACTCTTTGGAGATGTGAACAAGTTTGTAGGTAAGGCTAATCTCGTTGATAAGGTGTGTAGAGACTTTCAAACAAATGTCAGTAAGTTTTTCTGCAGAGACCTTTGAAGTACTTGAGCTGAGATAGTAAGGAGTCCTCTTGTAAATAAGTAGATGGAGAGAAAATGAGAGAAAAAGTAGGAGAAAATGGTCAGTTTTCACAATGGGAGGAGCTCTGCAGTTCCCTCGTGCAGCTGCTTGAAGGAGAACCTTTGCTATTCAACATCCTTGTAAATGGTCCGTAAAGGGAGGTGAATACTGCAGTGACATAGTTTGTGGATGACCTAAAATTAGTTGAGATAATCATCTAACCCTGAGAAGAGAGGCAGAAGGTTCTCACGGTAGTGAGTGACTGAGCCAGAAATGCCATGTGAAAGCCAATGCTGATAAATGCAAAGTAGTTTGTCTGGGAAGAATTAACCCTAAATATACACATTTAATTATGGGTTGAACATTAAATTATTAGCACTTGTAAAAGAAATAGAGTTAGAGTTGCTGTAGGATAATTTTCTGAAAACCTTGATGCAATGGCCAGCAGCAGGCAAAAATTCAAGCTGGATGACAGAGATTTTTAGAAAAGGAAAAGAGAGAAAGGAAAACATGATTATGTCACTGTATAAATGTTTGGCAAACCCACATATTGATTAATACATGCAGTTCTGTTCATCCTGTCTCACAGAGGATAAAAAAGAACTAAAAAGGATGTGTGGGAGTTATTTAGCTCTGAGATTTAGACACCTAAATTTAGGTTTCTACCTGAGGGTGTCAGTCTGTGAGGTAGATATCTAAACTACACCACTAAATCAAAGTGTCTTAGTCTGAATTCCACCCACAGAGAGCAGATGAGAAAGACAGAATGCTTTTCATATCAGGTGAGAGAAAACAGTGGGGCGTGGGGCAGAGATCCTGAGAATCATAGTCAATTAGGAAACAGAGAGGAGGGGATGGTTATTATTTTTCACAATAGGAGAAGTAAAGGATATCCCATGAAATTATCAGGGATCAGGTCTGAAACAGGAAGTTATACATTCTCACATAACACATTATTAAGTTGTAGAACTTTTTGCCACAGGCTGTTGTGTACGTCAAAAGTATAAATGATTTAAAATTTTCTGGAAGGCTGATGAGAAGCCAGTGTGCCACCAAATAGAGCAAGATTCATTCAACTGTCAAAAGCAATAGAAGCCCTGACCTTACTCGTCCAGGTAAGATAGAAGAGCACTTCAGCCTCCCACATCTATGTGAAGTGTTATGCTTTATTAATCACCTTAATTGAAGACCATGATTACAAGTAGATTTCTTCCAGTGCTGGTACAATGCTAAAGAGGTTCCCATCCCTTTCGGTCCCGAGTCCCTTGTGGTCATGATTGTTCATCTGAGAGGCTGCCCGGGAACCTTGAACAGAGAATGGGGCTACCTAAAAAAAACATTTTTCCCAAAAGAGGGCTGTTCTTAACTGGGGTCCACCATGATCCACTTTGGGTTGTAGCCCCAACGCAGTTGTACTGTTACAACCATGGTGCTGTCACAGGAGCTTCTTACACTGGCACAGCCTCCGAAGGGAAAAGATTTGCAATTACACATAAAAAAGAGGGTGCTCTGAGTAACGTCAGAGCTTTAGCATGCGTGTGTGTCTTCCTCAGCCTCTGGATGGGAATGATCTACTTTATATCAGCAGATTTCCACCTGATATTCCATTTGAATGCTTTGACCACAGGACCATTCACAGCATCTTTTAACTTTCCTAACGGAGGAAGTAGTTACTTCTGTTTTTACAAATCAGAACTGCTATTATGGGAAAAATTAAATAAGATATTTTGGTGCCTGTCAGAGAGTTTCCAGTGGAAGTCAGGGTCAGAAGAGTAGCATGGCTCTGGGCTTCATTAGATAGGCAGCTTTTTGGGACACGTTATTTTAAAAATTTCCTAGAGAATGAGTTTTCTACAAGGTTTTGGGTTGTTCAGCCAAATGTCTGTGTTTTTTCACGATATTTTTTACAAAATATTTGTTATGTCCAGACATAAAATATTAGAGTTAATAAAAAAT